GCGCCGCTGATTTTTTTATTTGACTTCGGCTTTGTCTAGAATCTTGTAAAAATGATCATGAAACAGATTCAGAAATCTGAGGCCTAGACCTAAAAAAGTTGTAGCGCCACTGATTCTTTTATTTGACTTCGGCTTTGTCTAGGTTTCGTCTAGAATCTTGTCCGAAGTAGCAAATAGTTCATTTGCATATAAGTGGTCACAAATGAGATATCGTACTTCGGATCACGTCCGATACTGGATGTGTATAGCTGTCACGTGCATCCTTAATATGCGTATTAAACTCTCCAGGCTTCGCAGGATTATTAAGTTTATAAATCTGAAGATGAAGCCTCTTTAAAAAAAGTGCGTGCGTACAAAGTACACGTCAGAAGTGAAACTTCTATGGAAAACTAATTTTTAACTCTTGTTCATATTTATACTAATCTAAAACTTTAGATTTGCGAGACTCAGAGGGACGGGGGAACAAGGAAGATATGTTAGGAATTTAATGAATTGTAACTGTTATTAGAATATTAAGTATCGATAATTAATACAAATAATAAATTTGAGATTACATTAAATTATTTTGCATAAAATATAAAATACTAATATTTCATCAATTCTCTTTATTTTTCGAAATTTTAATTTTAAAAATAGAATTTCTATAAGGTAATTCACCTCTCCTAAATAGGAAAATATTTTGGAGTATGGGACATTAAACAAACGAGCATATAATAATAATAATTTATATTGTCCCATACAACATTTGCAACAAACAATAAGATTACACTTGAGATATTTCTTTGGCGTAACAAGATAAAAATCTTTTCAAAAATTTTATTTTACGTTCATAGAAAAAGGTATTTAATACATTGAAAGTTGTATTATAACGCATTATCTAGTTAAATAAAGTTTATTTAATTATCACAAAAAAATATTTCTGCATAATTAAAGAAAGACATTTTTTATTTTAAAATGTTGACTATGCTAACTTCAAGGTGTTGGTTTTTTGTGACGGTGTGCGGGTGTCGGTTTTTTGTGACACCATTTTCCCTAACGTGCCAAAAGAAGTATATCTTCAAAAACTCGTGACGTCATAGTTATAATAAAAAAATGGTTTTTTTTATTTAACAGGATGCCTTTTTAAAAATGTACTACAGTCGACTCTCGATAATTTGACACTCGTTCATTTGAATCTCTCGATAATTTGAATCCGGTCCCTTGAAAAATACTCGATAAATTGAATAAAATCAATGATAATTGGTCCCTTCGGTAATTTGAAGTTGAAAAAGTATTATCTTGCTCGCCAACATGCGATAATTTGAAATCCGGTCTTCCCTACTCTCTATAATTTGAAACGTTTATCATGCACATACCTGTCGTTTGTTTACATACATGCACAGACTTGTCTTGATTAAAATTTGTGAATAATTGTTATAATAATTGTTAAAACATAATAAGAATATAGAAATAATAAGTAACAAATTTTGATCAAATTCTTATTTCCTTCAGTCGCCCCTCCCCCTCGTGGTTATTCTTTAAGACAAATTTGCGCGCTATCGTGTGTGGCAGAATATGCGAACGATTTACGATTGTATCACCTTAACATTTTGTACCATATTTTTGCAATAAATAAATTATTTTTATTATTATTACGCTTGGTACGCTCTTTTCTTGAAATTCTGACTAATGAAACTGTGATGTTCCAAAAGCGGAAATCTTTTTAAAAAGACAATTTTCTTGGTATTATCATGATAGAGATTTTATTCACCTAGAAAATTTCCATAGGGCTTTTTAATAAATAGAAATGTACGAAGTTATAAAAGCTAATTCAATATAAGAGTACATCTGTTGGGAAATGTTTGAGGGAAAAGGAAATTATATTTTGCCGGAAAATTATTATTTCCTTTAGATGATATTCGTGGTTGGAATGGAGCATTATTTTTTCCTTTGTGTCTAAGTTTGACGTAAAAATATGGTAAGCAGACTAAAGTTTTGGTCTGTCTTAGGTTGCCCTTTGAATTTTTTATTTATTAACAACATTAAAAAAGGCCTGCAACGCTGTCGCGAGCCCTCTGGCATTGAGAGTGTCCATGGGCGGCGGTATCTTAACATCAGACGAGCCTCCTGCCCGTTTGCCCCCGCCGCCCATGGACACTCAATGCCAGAAAGCTCGCGAGAACAGAACTCCATGTGGGGCGGAATTTGCGCTTTATGCAGTTGCAAGCGATGGCCTGGAGCGAAGTACCATCTTGTCTTGCTGAGCACACTGAGATACTTGGATTCGCATGCAGGGTCGAATTTAGAGGTCTGGAGGCCTCGGAGCAACAAAGGATTGGAGTGGCCCACTGGCCCCAAATTATTTTCTAACAATTTTTTTCAGTCGAGTTCTTCAATCACTAATTTATTGTCAAACCAAATAGATTCTCTAAGTATTTAACAAATATATAAAATATATCAAAAGCAAAGTTGTTAACACTAGTGTTTACTAGTCGGAATTTAAAATATTTTTATTTTCGAAATCCCTATTGGGGAGGGGCCACTATTGTCTAATAAGCCATAAGTCATTAAGCTGTGAAAGTAACTAAAATAAACAAGCTGTATCGATATCAGTCAGTGAGCGAAATTTTTTAACCGCGTAAGCTGCAGAACTAAGTCTCTTCGCCAATCCGTTATAGTTATAGTAAAGAAAAAGGCAAAAATTTAAGGTTTTTAAGTTCGATTACCTAAGGGCGTGATGTCTAGACAAAGGGACTACGAGAGTACCCGAGGAATGGCGATAATGAACGCGGCCCGAGGCGGGACCCCATTGTCTAGGACCCCGGGTTACTCTTACTTTGACGGGAATATTTCAATCAAGCCATTCAGCACGAAGATTAGACTCATCACAAAAGCCCGGCCACTTTCTAGAGCTTTTGAGCTTTTTCATGTTTTTAAATTTTCTTTTGATAATTTTAGTTGACATCGAAAATTGTTGACGGAATTGTTTCTAGTAAATTTAAACTTAGCTTAGTTGCTTGCATACAGTATACATACAGTATTGTGATAATTTAATATTAAACTAATTTAATGAAAAATACTCATATTACCGAAGATCATGTAAAAAGATTTTCGGATAAAGACATGTCGATTTCCTAACGATTTATTTATTTATAAGTAATCTTACACACATAATAAATATAATAAATCTCTTTTTTGCTCCGAATAGCGAAATAAGTAATAAAATATCCGATAAGTTATCGAATAACACTAAATAAGTATATTAATTTTACGAATGCAAACAGCATGTGGTGCCATCTGTTGACAAAACTACGAATCATTTTACATCGAATTCGTGTCAGTTCAAGAAATTCCGATCTTGAGGTGAATGAGGAGATGCATAACCAGGCTTTGATCTTGATCGAAGACTTGTATGTACTGTATCGCAATATTGGTGATGGAGAGAAGAGGCCTAATGTGTAAAAGTGCCATTCTTCTTTCGAAATAAAGGTTGTATAATGTTATTATAGTTAACCTTAATGAAATCCTACATTAAGTTTAACTAAAGTTAACGCGATATTATTAGACTGTTAGGCGGAACGAAGTTAGCCGGGTCAGCTAGTATATTATACAGGAAAACACTTAGACATTTTTAATATATTAATATTGTTTCTTATTGTTGTCCCTTTCACTGTTTCCATATGTTTTAATTGCTTTGCTTTTTTAAATTAGTTTTGTAAATAACTATATGTCTTATGTTTGGGACCCCCCCCCGTGTAATTCGCCGTAACGGCGATCGACGGCGGTCAATAATCTCCAAAAAATTGCGTTACGTAATACTTGAACGCTCCCAAAACCGCTGTTTGCCCTCTTTTTTATTTAATTATCTAAATTGTAGGTACTATATTTCTGTATACAGCGCAACCTGCAACGAGGTGTTACTAAATAAATAATAGATAAAATAAGAAAACTGAAATTAAATATTACAAACGATAACTCTATTTATTTATAAAACACTCCTGCCCTAACAGGCGACCCTAAATTGACAAAAGTGAATAAAATTTACAGACGAAGCAAAAAAAAACAATCATTTTTAATAAACACGAAATTAATTAGGAAAAACATAATAAAAAATACAAGAAATTAACTAACTACTATGGGCACTAACAAATAATAGAACTTTTGCAAGTTCACTCAACGGACAATAAAAAGGTCCGTTAACCTATGTAATTCGTTAATTAAATTAGTTCACCAAAACTTAATATTTTCAAGAATAAAACTATTATTACTTCTGCAATAAAGTTTTACTTCAATCTTCGGGATGGAACCCACGACTTTAGTTGCGATATTTATTATTGGTATAACAATTTATTTCGCAAATTTTCTCATGTTTATGACAGATTTCGGAAAATGCGGGAAGAAAATTAATTAAAAGGCTTGTGAAAATTATTAAACGATGGTAATTTTCTTTTCTAAATTTACTGTTATGGTTAGGGGTTGAACTCCCAGTTACGCCGATAATAAATAGTGCAGTGAATTGTTTTGACAATTGTCAAAGGTTTTTGACATAGTTTGATCTGATACAAGGCTAAACACAGATTAATCTCTGTAACCTAAATAATAAATAATATGTCAAAAGTAATTTAATCATATAGGTAACACAATGTACACTTATGAACGTCAAAAAAAGAAATGTATATGAAATACTTTTTACTTTACATTTAGTGCAAGTTCTCAAATCAAGGGCGTAGAACGGAAGACAAGAACTGGCAATAAACTCTCCACCACTCTATTTAATCGCCATGTTTTTTTTACACAATGTTTGTAAGGAGCTGCAACTATTACACCATGTTCCATATGACATGTTAAGTAATTAATAATAATAACCTGTCTGGTCCTGATTTTTAGAGATCTACCAAAATGCCTAGCTATTTTTATCTATATCGAATTGCACATATCACTAAAGTAGTATCTCTTCTTTTATTGTAAAAAAGAGTTGGAGTAGTACTTAAATAGAGCGTTGACTGATTTTGTTTTATTTAATGGAACTTAATAAGTCTAATATAATACAGAGAACAGAAAATACGGCTACACTGATTTTCTTTTGTGTGGTAGGCCTTTTTTGCCAAGGGAATGCAAGAGAGGTGGGACTCACTCCAGACATTCTGCTGAGATCTGAGCAGAATCTGAGGTACCCACTAAAACCACCTCGGGTAGTACCAACAAAACCTCATCAGTCCCTTGGTGTCGCTTTCGCATTCTACCGGAACCTCAGCGGTTTTCGGGGATCTCCAACTGTTTAAAAAAAGAACATACTCCTCCCTCAATGGCCGGCAACGCATCAACAAAAAAAGGGTGTCCAAGAGCTGCTATGACTGTCCATTTTGGGCGTCCCGAAGATTCGTTTGCTATACTTAGCCATATGGTATCGATTATATGTGGTCTACATAGGTAGCAGGAGACCTGTGAACCTTCTCCCCCCTCCTCTTCTGTATCTCAAAAGCGTTACCCTGTCTCTCTTACTAGATATTCCTGAAGCATTGTTTGCTCATACAAACATTCCACGCCTATTACCAAACATTTTCAAAATAACATTAGACAGCGAGAATACTTGGTAGGACAGTATTCAACGAAGAGCGGTTCGAATCGTCGACGACTAATCCCTCTCCGAGCGGCTTGATCCTTTGGCGTTGCGTAGAGATGTGTGGGCACTCTGCATCTTTTACCGCACTTACCATGGAGAGTGTTCAGAGGAATTGTTCGGATTAATACCTGCAGCTGAGTTTCATTATCGGACGTCGAGGCAGAATACGAAATTCCACCTGTATCACTTCGACGTCCACCGTTCCACAACTGAGCGTTTTTCAAGACAGTTACCGTGCACCACCAATTTGTAGAACCAGCTGCCTACTGGGATAATTCCGAACCAATTCGACTTAGAGTCCGTCAAGAAAAGAGCGTACCACTTCTTAAAAGACCGGCAACGCACTCGTGAGCCCTCAGGCATTGAGTGTCCATGGGCGGCGGTATCACTTAACATCAGGTGAGCCTCCTGCCCGTTTGCTCCCTGTTCTATAAAAAAAAAAGACTTTTTATACCCTACTTGGTAGGTAGGGTTTTATTTATGTCAATCAATAAAACACATTCTTGAATCACGAAGTAGTTCAGTGTGAGATAAAATTATATAAGGCACTTGAATCTCTCGGATATCGATGAACCACGCCCTTGACCCGAAGCGACAAGCCTTCCACACGGCTGGGCTAATTAATTTGTTCGTTCTAGCTTTTTAGCTTCGAGATTCATTTACGATGCAAGTTAATTTAAATAGAATATTGGTATTAAACAGGAAGAAGACAGATCAGGGATAAATCCCTGTTTGTACATCCCCGGCTGTGCACCAATGGACTTTCATTCCATGTGCGCACTTAACATTCGCTCGAACGTCAGGCACAAGAGGCTGATCACCTACTTGCTTGCTCTTATTAGATTAACAAATGATCATGAAACAGATACCGAAATCTGAGGCCCAGACCTAAAAAGGTTGTAGCGCCACTGATTTTTTTTACTCCGTCGGAGGTCGTGTACTAATATTAAATATAATAACACAAACTTAATGTAATAATTATTATAGTTGAATATATGCTGTTTTTATGGCAGCTAGTAATAATGTTAGCAGACTTAAGTTAATATAAATAGAGGCTGCCCGTTGCCCCATTATAATGCGGATTACAATAATTCAAAGCGTTCAACGTCGCGTGACATTCTAACAATAGAACTAATTTAACTACATTTTATAATCGTTGACACGTAATTTGCAAGATTCGGTTGCTCTGTATTCGGCGAATATTCGGTTGTAATTGGCCCTGGCTCAGCATTATGCTGAGGAGCAGAATGTCCCACAGCGCTGGTCATTCTGCCAGAGACCAGCAGCCAGTATCGCACACATACATTTTCGAGTCACAGCATACAGCACGTTGAAGTCCTTCCGTTTCCTTCACTCCCTCGGAGTGTTAAATGCGCAAATAGAACAGTCCATTGGTGCACGCTCTGGAAAAAGTACAAAAAACTTGGCGATTAAAGAGTTGCGGATAGTTGATTGCCAGTTTTTCTCTTCCGTTCTACGGCCTTGATTTGAGAACTGGTAGTAAATGTAATATTAGAAGCATTTAATATAAGTATACTAACTAGCTGACCCGGCAAACGTTGTTTTGCCATGTATATTATTTCTAGGAAACATTTTTTTTAGTTAAACAAAAATAACTACTGTAATAAAAATAGGGGTGGATCGTAGAGGGGTGAAAATTAAGGGTTGTGTGTATTTTTTAATGCCACATAATAAAAAAAATATTTTTTTAGTGCGTACAGACCTTATCACTTAGGGGTTTGTAAGATAAATAGTAGCTGATTCTCAGACTTACTGAGTATGCATATCAAATTTCATAAGAATCAGTCCAGCCATTTCGGAGGAGCATGGGAACGAACATTGTGCCACGAAAATTTTATATATTCGATTTCTTTTTTGACGTTCATAAGTGTACATTGTGTTACCTATATAAATGATTGAATTTTGAATCAGTTCTGGTCCTTGATTAAAGAACCGTCATTGTTTTTATAGATCAAGGCTAACTTGGCTCACCTGATTTTAAGTGATACCTATTTGGCAAGGAATTATTACACTGTTGATGTGTAGTTGGTGTCCAGAGCGTGCACCAATGGACTGTTCTATTTGCGCATTTAACACTCCGAGCGAGTGAAGAAAACGGAAGGACTCCAACGTGCTGTATGCTGTGACTCGAAAATGTATGTGTGCGATACTGGCTGCTGGTCTCTGGCAGAATGACCAGCGCTGTGGGACATTCTGCTCCTCAGCATAATGCTGAGCCAGGGCCAATTACAACCGAATATTCGCCGAATACAGAGCAACCGAATCTTGCAAATTACGTGTCAACGATTATAAAATGTAGTTAAATTAGTTCTATTGTTAGAATGTCACGCGATGTTGAACGCTTTGAATTATTGTAATGCACATTATAATGGGGCAACGGGCAGCCTCTATTTATATTAACTTAAGTCTGCTAACATTATTACTAGCTGCCATAAAAACAGCATATATTCAACTATAATAATTATTACATTAAGTTTGTGTTATTATATTTAATATTAGTACACGACCTCCGACGGAGTAAAAAAAAATCAGTGGCGCTACAACCTTTTTAGGTCTGGGCCTCAGATTTCGGTATCTGTTTCATGATCATTTGTTAATCTAATAGGAGCAAGCAAGTAGGTGATCAGCCTCTTGTGCCTGACGTTCGAGCGATTGTTAAGTGCGCACATGGAATGAAAGTCCATTGGTGCACAGCCGGGGATCGTACCTACGACCTCATGGATAAGAGTCTCACACTGAAGACACAAGCCAACACTGCTCTTCTTTCTACTCCGACGGAGGGAAGGCCTGGAAATCTTTCCCCGCCTTTTTATTTCATCTTTTGGCAAGCGCATTAGCATAGAAGCGCATCTTATTACCACCCCTATGTGAAACTAGCAGCCCACTGAAGTATTTCCGAACCAATTCGTAATAAGTCCTTCCGGAGAAGAGCGTGCCAATTCTTAAAAGACTGGCACTCGCGAGGCCTTTCTCATTGAGTATCCATGGGCGGTATCACTTCACATTATAGTAGGCAGATAACAATTTTTAATTATAAAATGGATCAAAACAAATAGCAAATCAAAGACATACATCTTTTTTTATAAATTGTTTGCGAAAGACACAGTTTAACATTACAATCTAGCCTAACTTAAGACTAATAAAGATATTTAACTCTACTAAGGGAAAGACACTCGAACACTCGAAACTATCTATTTGTACAAAATATGTGTATATAAGGTCCTGTACCACAAGACAGAACTACCGCATATTTAAGAAATGTATAATAATAATGGTTGAAAGTGCTTTTCAACGTTTTGTAAACACCTTGGCGATTTAAAGAGGAGTTTATTTTATTATTCTCACTGTGTGCCAATATGAGAATTAACTAATAAATGGTTTTTCTAATTTTGTAGTTGAAATCTATGAACAGTACAGTCTGTTAAATGTTACGCATGCGTAAGGTGTGAACAAACCTGTCGATGGACAGAAATATCCTGGTGTTATTTCGGGACGCCGCAACTAAAACTTTTAAAGAATTACAAGTTACAACTAAACGGAAAAATGGGTGCATTTTTGGTTAAAAGTTGTGTTTTTACACTAACTGTTTACACAATATGATAATAACAAAATTATAAGACAGGCTATTTATATGTGACTGTAGAATATATACTAATTGTTGTAAATTTGTTAAATATTGGTTGTGAAAATTCAAATAAACATTCATAAATTTAAACGCTCAAAATTGCAGCACAATTTAAATTACATAAAAAATATGTTTCATAAACAAATATTATTTTCGCAAGAAGCTGCCAGCGTTAAAGGTTCACTGCCACAGGGACCAAACTTTTTAAATTTGTATAAATTTTCTGTTTATTAATACATTTTTAATTATATTTATTATAACTAGGGGGTCGTTCAAGTATTACGTATACAGATGTTCTGCAATTTATCCCCGCCCCCTCCTATTGTCAGCAAAAGTAAGCAAAGCTCTCAAAAATAATAGTACATAAACGCATTACCCCTAAGTAATAAGAAATATAATAAAAAGAAAATTAAAACAAATTTAAAGAGTTTGGTCACTGTGGCAGTGTACCTTTAACGCTGGCAGCATTTCCTCGCTGTATTGCGATACTTATTCGTTGAGCGTTGAACATTCTTAAATTACACAAATATATTTATTATTTATTTATTTATTTACTTAGTTAATAAGCTTATAACATCACACACAGTACTAAAATTACTAATTATTTTACAAAAAATCTCGCATCTAAAATGTGTGACAATTAATGTAAGCATAAGTTTCAAAAAAAAAAAATTAAATAGAAATAAAACTTACAATTAAAACATATACGATAGTAAAAGCACACAATAAAATAAAAATAAAAATTTATATGATAATGTCGAGGCTATTCAACTTCTTGACACCAAGGGCTTAGAGAGAAGATTAAAAAGAACAAAACCATTCGAATTAGTTAATTAGTATTAGTGCACGTTCGTCTTAAGTGCTAAACAGTGGAAGTGGTAAGAGTGCGTTCTTGTGTACTCTTTCCACTTCAGACAGTGTTGGCCTAGTGGCTACAGCTTGCGACTCTCAACCCTGAGGTCGTAGGTTCGATCCCCGGCTGTGCACCAATGGACTTTCTAGGTGCGCAAATA